CGGTGAAGCTGGAATCTCCTGAAGACCTATTCAGGATTAAAGCATTTTTTAGACATCAAAGATGAGGGGTGATACTTTGAATAGCTGGGGGAAATTACCATTCTGGGTGCTAAGCATTATCAGAATTCCTTTTTGAAGTAAAAACAGATATAAGGAAACCAATATTTGCACTGTCTAAAACGTCTATATCTAATTTCTTCTACATCTAGACCCATTTCAGTCTGGTCTCTGGCTTGGCCTGGCCTCAGCATGGAAACAGCCCTGGTTGCCCCTAATTGGTCATTTTCTTTAGAAGATGAAATTCTGATCCTCTTCAACTGTTGAGCAGCTGTTGCCTGCAGTATCATCAGGGAACAGCTCAGTAGGCTCATATTAGGGATATCAGAGAAATCTGGTTATGGACTCAAATGCATTTGGAAACAGTAGTCCATAATCTGAAAACTTCCCGATTGCTCTGCCAAAATGCCATCGGTATGGAACTTCCTTTGGGAGCACCCTTAGATATGGTAATTGTTTGCCTGTCCTGAAGGTTCTTTTTGTCTTGCATTGTCTTAATCCATTCAATCCTGTTTTATCCTGTTGTGCCTATAGCCAACCTGCACCTGATTCCTCACCCTCCCCCAAACTGTGGATGTAAAAGTATCTTGTACGGATTCAATCTTTGTAGTCCGCCCCCCCCAGGGGTTACCTATATATTGCATGTATTTCCTATATGTTGGAATAAATTGTAATGTTCTTTTGATTGGACAATTTTAGGAGCAAGGGTGGAATATAAATCAAATAAATAATAATAAATAGTAAAGCATTTGATGCAATAAATATATTCACAAGAACTGGAACGAATAATATATTCAAGAAGTACAAATCCCATAATCTCCTTACAATTAAATCACTTAAAATAGATTTAACAAACAAGATAAAATAGTTTCTTTTTGAAACCTGTTTCTGTGCGCATACCACATTCATGTTAGGTTTTTGTGTTTTCTTTTAGCTTCAAAATGTAGAAAACCATCTGTTTCATCTATACATTTCATCTACCTAGGATTTTGTTTCATTTCATTTATCTGCATCTCAACTTCTTTGTTACCTTTGATGTTTTTCAAGGTATACTGAATGCGGAAGAAAAATGTCAGTGCAACTATTAATATACAGTAGTTTCAGTTTCCTAACAAAGTGAAATTCTTTTAATGATAGGTTCCAAATGCAGTCAAATACAGCAGTGAACTTTTCAGTGCCCAAACGTTATTTAACAAGGAACACTGCTAGTATATGACATTCTGACTCCCATATCCGTCAATCAACGGACTGGATACACTAGTACCCATGTTACCATGCTAATAATGAAGAAGGAATGTCTTTCATGTTCAGAGAGATTGATTTGCTTAAGGCTGCCTTACTACAGTCAGAGCAACAGGGAATTGACCACAGCAAGTGGAGTTTTGACAGATGAATCCAGGCAAAGCAATACATGCCCGTGAGTCAAGAAAAAAAAAGAAAGCTGGACTCAAAGGGGGGAATAGTTCCTAATTTCAGACTGAAAGCTGGGGTGTGAACAGCTGAAAAGGTTTATGAAGTACATGTAGAGGCGCAAGTAGAGATGCATACAAAGTTAAAGATGTTCTTTTTTCCCATGTCATCACTGAGTACATTCCAGCATTATTTCAGTGAAACTTTGTGTAATGGGACTTTCTCCCGCTTCACCTGGCCTGAGCCACCTACAAAAGTGCTGTAGAGGATTCCAAACCCTCCAGAGCAGAAGTATGCTCTGTGGGATTTTTGTGGGTATGCAGAGGGCTGCAGGAATGACTCTGAATCTCTGCCGCTCCCCACTTGAGTTCCACCAATGGAACCTGTTCTGACCATGCAAAATCTTCAGCACGTATCACCCTGTCCAAACTGCTGCTGAAGACAATCACTGATTTTTAATTCCAAACAACTGGCACGGTGGTTCATGTTATGAACAACAGCTGCAGAAGAGTCATGGGAAAGGTAAACAAGTTGATAGCAGACTGCTGAGAAATGGTTACAGCTCTCTACTTCAGGACAGATGTGCTAACCAGGCCCTGCCTTCAGGGCAGACAGACCCTTTGCTTGGGAAGTCTCTTGGGCAGTGAATTGCTATGACCCTAATTCCCCATACTTCTGCTCTTCTTCCTGGATCCTCATTTCCATCATTTCAAAATGGCTTACAGGGCTTTCTAAGGCATGGTCACTAACTCCAGCTGATGTAACCTGAGGCCTTGGCTGCCTCATTCACCTTATCTCCTCCCCGGATGAGTCAAAACCAAATCTGTTATTTGAAGAAACTGAGCCTAGAGGTCCCCAGTGCATGCACCACTGGTTTCAGGTCACTCTCCTCCAGGAAAGGATGGAGTTGGAGAATTAGCCAAAGCTGATCACAGACACTCTTGACCATGGCTTCTATCTGTGCTGACATCAGAAGTGTCAGGTCAAACAGAACCCCCAAACTGTAAACATGATCTTTCATGGGGAGAGCGATCCCATCTAGAACTGGTTGGCATACCTCTAATCTTGGATTTGGACCCTTAACAGCAAGCACCTCCATTTTGTTTTCCTCTCCAAACTATTCCCAGCCACAGGCTGTTATTCAGAGGGTGGCGCTGTCTCTAGAAGCAGCAGATGATGGTAAGGAGAAATAGATCTGACTGTCATTGGCATATTGATAACACCCAGCACCATTCTGGATGATCTCTTCCAGCCACTTCATGTGGATGTTAAGCAGCACTGCAGACAAAGTGGAACCCTGTGGGACTTCACAAGTCAGCTTCTTCTTGGACGAGTGACAGTTTCCAAGTATCACCATCTGGATCTGCTGAATAGGAATGGAACCACTACAAAGCAGTGCCTCCAACTGCCAACTCCTTCAGATGATCCAGAAGGATACTGTGGTCAATAGTATTGAAGGCTGCTAAGAGATCCAACAGAACCATCAGGGACACATGCTCCCTGTTAATTCTGAGTTGAAGATCATCCACTAGAGCATATCCTGCTCTGAAGTCAGTTTGAAATGGGTTCAGCTCCCATCTTCTGGAGGTGTCCTTTTAGAGCTGCTGGGCTTAATCCTCACAGTATTGTCCAGTATTTGCCCTCACCTCCTTCTGACTCCACTTTTGGTTCCACCCACTTGCATACAAACAGTTACACACAGTCACATGATGGCTTATTGTTTCAAACCCATATCCTAAGCTATCCTGGGTCTTTGTTAAAGTACTCCTATCAAGGACCTGTTTAGCAGTAGAAATGTTTGAAAATGTAGTCCTGCTAATAAAGAAAAATGCACAAAATTGCTAGTTTGAAGGAAATCTAGCACTTCTTTTATGGATTAGGGATGAGCAGAGCTCAGTCACTACTGCATGAATCCAATTTGATGGCCTGCTTCCTCCTTTCTTCCAGCTCGGATATAGCACTGTGAGATCAGATGCAGCCCCAGAAACAGTTACCTGTGCTGCAACTGTTTGCCACCATGCTCTGTCACTTACAGGTAAGTTGCTCTGGCCAACTCTATCCCCTCAAGAACTCTTAAAAGGCACCAATTCCTTATAGTTTAAACTGGAATAAATCCAATACCAGGCCTTTGAACTTAGTTGCAAATTCACTCCACTTCTCTGAAAACTGAAATGATCTCCCTGTGATTCAGATCACATGTACAATAATCTTCTGATCACCCACAGTACTGATCACTATGTGGAAAACATAATCTAGATAGCAACCGAGAATAATGGAAAGCACCAACAAATGCCATTTACCTTGACTGGCTTTCTCCTTGTGCTCTCATGCCATACTGACATTTACACAGAGCTCTAGTATTTGCAATCACCTCCCAATTATCTTTACTGGGCACACCCAAAGACATGCCCACTGAGCTTTCTGGGTTGAAATAAATGAGGGCATGGATGATCTAGAAGCAAGCATGGAAACCATAGATTTTGAACCTAGAATAGTGTGCTTAAAGATGTGCTTCAAAAGCTTCCTTTAGCTTTTCACAGCTAAATTAAAAGATGTAAACTGACGATCCATTCCTATTAATATTTCTCAGAAGTAAAGCCCACTGAATTCAGTACAGCTATTTTCCTAGTATATTTATTATATTTATACTCCACTGTTCATACTGCAAAGAACAAAAGCCACCTTATATTACTCTTGTTCTCTTCTCCATTTTAATCATTTTATTCTCACAACAACCCCATGAGGTGGGTTAGGCTAAGAGTCAGTGGTCAGCCTATGAAACTCGCCCAGAGAGTTTCATAGCCAAGTGGGGGACTTGAACCAAGATCTCCTGAGTCCCAGTCCTGCAGTCTAACCGCTATGGCATACTATGTATTTAAAATATGTATTCTGGATGATTTATTATACAAAACACTCATCATTCAAACTGAGTAGTCAAAAACAATACAATACAGCACAACACTGTTCCCATTTCTGGTGCTTTCAGTTGAAAAGGTTTGGTTGAAGTGAACTAATGTTCTTGTGTACTGTGGAGCTACCTGCAAAAGCAGCTGACCGTCACTCCCCAGAATGATCTCTAGTTAGTTTAATGTAGTGCAGTGATTAAGAGTGAGGGAGAGGGAGTGGGTTCTAGTCCGCACTTGGGCATGGAACTAACTAGGTAACTTTAGGCCAGTGACAAACTCGCAGATCATCCTACCTCATAGGGTTCTTGTTGTGAGAATAGGATTGAGAGAACTATGTAAGTCGCTTTGGGTTTCTTGGAAAGAAAAAAGGTAGGATACAAATATAATAAATAATTCCTAATGTCTGAATGTAGTTAAATTTTAACAGTGTAGGGATTTGATTATATTCAGCTGTACAGAAGTATCACTAACTAGTTAATTACACATATGTGGCTCAGTTGTTAAACCTAGCAGAATCCCTACTTTGAGCAGTTCTTTAGGCATATATTTTTAAAAGTTGGGGACAGAGGCCTGCGAGACCTGTGAAACAACCAATTATCTGATCTTAAACATTGGTAAATTACTCACAATATTCATCAGTGTCAGAAGATACTTCTGAACATGTTCTTTCCCATGGAATTGTACCACAGAGTCATCGACACCTAGAAGTACTTCAATGTTGTAATCTTCGTCAGCTGCATGCCTTGGATATCTCCTCCTCCTTTGTGTGGTACTGATCTTATCTTTCACCAGGTTCAACATGCTGTCTAGATTGCCTAGATCAGCTTCTGTAAGAAATTGAAAGAAAAATGTGCTTATCTCTTACATTTCATTTCTTATACATATCCTATCACACTCTAGTAGCTAAGCAAACCATAAGTTACCTGTATCAGTCAGGATGTGTGAAAATTACCCAGAATGAAAAAAAACATCTTTCATCCTTCATGATACCAGGGAGTGCATGGCAGAGTGTGTGCGCGCATGCTTGAGAGAAGATTCTAAAAATGTACATTCCATTTTTTAAAGAGCTTTTTCCTGATGTAAGGTATGACTCGTAAAACTGTAACCTACACACACAGTTCTGAAGAACTCAGCAGTAAAATGACAAAACATAATTCTACAAAACTGCTTAAGGAACTCCAGGAATGTTAAAGAATATGACCCATAAATCAAAACTCATAGGGAGCAAGCCTGCGGCCACTAGACCACTCTCTAGATGGCCACCAGGAAGTTTCCGAGTGCCAGCTCTGCCCTTGAAAACAGCTGGAGCTCTGACCTCCGTGAGTCCTCCCTCCATCCTTGCAGTGGATGAAGTTCTTCCACCACCACCTTGTAGGGCTATGAGCATCCCCAGTGGATTGCGCCCTCATTGCAGCCATGAGCCTGATTAGTATGTAACACTAACCATGTTTTATCCAAGCCATAGTTTATTGTCCTACCCAAGGTTTGCCTGGCACATGATTGAACAAACCATAGTTTGTCTTCTCATTCTCTCCTCCTTTACTCGCTCTCTCTCTGTATCGCAAATGCCTTTGATGTCAATAAAAAGTGCTTTGGGTGTGCCCAGGGGCTTAAGCTCAAGTCCTGAAGTAGAACTTTTCCATGTCATATGATTCTTTCGTATGAAAGTTCGGAAAAATGGATGGAAGCTTCCGAGACTGCGGGAAGAGGATTATGGAAACAGTGGACCAAGAAATTTTGCTGGTCCCTAACCATTCACTGGTTCATTCACTGAAGTATAACTACTGATGTCTTGATTTTTTAGATAGCATAAATCATACAGAACAGTGTTTGTAGGACTGTGCCAATCTATAGAAATATAGAGGCAAAGAAAAATTGTGATTTGGTTCAATCAATGGTCAGCAAGTGCCCCTGAGGTTGCCTTGGGACAACTCAACATCCTAGTGACCAACCCTGAGGACTCCCACCTCCCATGGTTTGCCAGTATGAAGCTGCGAGGATAAAATTGTATGGACAATGTCCAAAGATGCATCTTCCCTTTTTTGGTACAATTTAACAAAAACACACGCAACAAACACACAGGCATATAAAGGGTACAACTACATCACCTCCATGATCACCCCGCCCCCCAATCCTTAAAATGTAGATCAGCACCAATTTAAATCACAGAGACTGAGACAAACGACAGCCTTAACTTCTTTCTCAGCTATCTCTGATATAGATTTCCACCCGTTTTAGGAAAGATTTCCATGTGGTGGCAGCAGAGCAAAGTCTCTGAATGGAGGTTGCCACCAACAGCATTCAAGTGGCAGAACAGGGGCAGGAGATATTTCACTGAGAAGCAGCAGACACTAGGGGGTCCCAAACTTTAATGCTTTCCTACCCTCCCCCCTTACCTCAGCTGCTTTTCTCCTATACAGGCTCTGAGACCACAAATGCAATTATTTTAGGGGAAGAGGGTGAGAGGGGAAATCTACCTGGGGAAAGAGCAGTTGCCTAGTTTGAGTTTCAGAACTGAACTGAGCATACAGTCCTTCCACACAGAAAGTCACTCCTGATTACCACTTTCTTTATTTCAGCTGCAGAAGTCCATTTTTTGCTACTGTTATTATATAATTGGCAGTCAGAACTCCTGATCAAGCTCCTGAGAATAACCCAGAGACCTACCACTAGATATGCCTTAATATAGCCCAACTGAATGCTTTATTTCATACCAGTGATGAGCCCCCTAGTAACTAACTGCACATGTCCAATTCCATCCTCTCAACTGCACTGCTCTACTACATCTGCTCTGTCATTCTTCCTCCACCTTTTTAGTTTGCATTCCAACGCCCTCTACTTGTCTTTTATCTTGCCCTGTGCATTTTTCTCTAAGCCATATAAGCCTCTTCATAATTCATAAATCCTCTTTTCGCAGTACAGGTTGCATTTGGAACCTTATGCTGCATATCATGCATAAGGAAATTGGACAAATCCAGGAAGCTGATTTAAACTGCAAGTAAGGTACTGTGAGGTGAAGCCAGATCCAAGTCAGAACTCCACATTATGAGCCACATCCTGACAAAATGCTTTATTTTTCAGCCTGGTTTCAGAAATCATGTTGGTATAAGACTGTATGACATGTGCTTGGGTGTGGTTGAAGTCAAAGGGAATTCATGCATAAGTTCAAGCATTGTATTAAAGAGGGGCAGATGGACACACACCAAGGGCACATTGTTCATTTGTGGACACAGGTAAGGCCCAGGGGGAGATGTGGGTACAAAGAACAGAACAAACAACATTCTGAAGAGTGAGTTGGTCCATGCACCTTTCTAATAGAGTGTGTCTGTGCTTGTGCAGTTAAACTACAAGTTTAACTAAGAACAGAGATGGGTGAAAAATTCCTTCCTTCCAAACCTACTAAACCAATCAGCAAACTGGAACAGAATCCAGTGGACTGAATCTTGTGGACTGAATCTTGTACATTCCTGAGTTTAGAGTTCCAGTGCTCCACTCAAAAAATAAAAGAAATAACAAAATATAAAGGACACACACTGGGAAAAAGTGTCCACCAAAATCCATATGCCAATGGAAAGGGACATAAAAAAAGCAAACAACAGTGAAAATAATGCAGATTCCATGCATTGTTAAAGGGAAAATAGCTTGCAAAGTACATGCATGAGCAAACAAATAGAAGTGCACTCAAAATGCATACATTAGAGTGTGCTTGTATGAAAATAATAAAAATAATGTTCAATATTAATGTGGACTTGCACCAAACTGAACCTAAGTGCAGAAAAAGGAGAGACTGAATGGAATTGCAGTTGACAGATGTGCTTGCTCCTATTTGAGAGACAGAAAGATTTGTGCTTCCTTATGTGACATGCTTTCTCTCAAGAATTATTTGTCCCATAGTTCCCTGTTCTTAGCAAGAAGGTGATATAGCTGACAGGAGGTTCAAAGTATGAGATTGATCAGGGTCAGTAAAAAATGTGGCATCTGCTTGAATTTACACGCCCAAAATACATGTGAGGAAAGTCTGCTTCATAGGTATCTTCCAGATTTTCTGCAAAATCCCATTGGGAAATTTTATATCTGAAAAATATATGCAAACTTACTGTTCCAATGTCAATGTAATAAATACAAGTTAGAAAAAGCAACTGCAACTCAGTGTCAGTTTTGGTGTGCTTTAATTTTCTTCCTTTTTCTTTTTCATTTCTTGTAAGAAAATGCAAGACATCAGCATGCCTATAGCAATGCTGTCTCATGTGTTTCAATAAACTTTGGGATCCTTGACTGCTAACACTGACCTTCCCCTGATGCTACTAGGAAACTTAGATGGAGTTCTATGGCTCACAGACAAAGCATGAGTCAGATTTGTAGGCTCTCACTGTTGCTCCATGTGAGCAACATCTCAAGTGAGATTGAGCACCAGAACACATCCAGAATTCCCCTGCATTAGTATGGAAAGACCAATAATGATGGACAAAACAGCTTTCTCTACTATTTCTCCTCCTATTGCTGAGGAATTGCTGAAGATCATTTTTTAAAATCCATTGTTCTTCCAACTTGAAAAGAGGTTGAAAAGAGGTTGAAGTGAGGGAAGGAGTCTGACTTCTTCCTTTGCTCACCCTGCCAGCTTCATGGTGTTGCTACAAGGAATGCTTGTTGCCCTTCTTTTAGCATCTTTCTTCTATGAAAAATTTGAATTCAGTGAACTCAACCAGTGTCATCACCAGGATCACATGAAATGGTGTGTGGAGGTGTCATTTTTAAATATCTTTTCTCCTCAACCCTCTTCTATTTCAAGTGAAAAATGTACTATAATAAAATATACTATAAACATACTATATTCAATTAAAATAGGAGTTCATTTTTTATAAGAAACAAATGTATGGAACAAGGATTCCTTCTGCTAAATTAATATATTTCACCTGGAATCTCACTAGCCTTTGAAATAATGAGTTCTTGTGCACTGCAGTGAATTATTGTCCACGTTCAATTGAGAAAAGCTACATAATTATTTGGAAGCCACTTAAAATGGAAAGGATCCCTCCTCACACCATCAGATTCTACACAAATCCCTTTCCATACTTATTACCTGACCAGGATTAGGTTTAAACCTTTCATATAATCTTCATCAGGTGAACATGTCCAGGGCTATTTTCATTAACCTCTGCCAATGAGACACTTGAATGCTCAGTCCATTCTCCAACAAAACATTATTAAATTAGAGGGAATTAACACATCTAATGGTTGTGATAGGCGACCCTTTGGCATTGTGACTGACACCTCTAACAATCTAATTTGCAATTTGAGGAGGATAAAATGCCAAGGCTCAAAACAAGACTTGAATTACAACAGGCTAATGTGATATGTCAGCCCTTTTATCTATAAACCATTTATTTTTCAGAAAGGGGAAATTACATTTCATTACTGTAAAACAAATAAGTAATGCTTAGTGCAATCCTCTGTCCCCTTAAGCAGCACCTAGAAGTCCACAGGATGGGTTTTGTTTGTTTGTTTGTTTGCTTGTTTGTTTTTGAGTCTCAGATTCAATGTTGGAAACTGGAGTGCCCTCCAGCACCCCTGGAAACAACCCTTTTCTGAAGTTGCAGAAATGACCATGGAAAAGGGGTTTGGAGGACAGAGACAAGGGCCAGAAGAAGAGGAGATAAGTGGCACCAAAATGCAGTATATTTTGGCAGTGTTTCAGCTTCCTTCCTTTTCACTCTGAAGTTGGAATATGTGAAGAATCCGTTTGGGGTAGGAATTCACCAGCTTCATTGACTTGGATCCTGGACTCTGGTCCACTTTGTGGTAGCCCTGGGTCCAAGTTCCTGGCCAG